GCCAACGCTGCCTCCAAAAAACATGGCGGTGGCGGCTCCTCTGCTGGGTGCGCTTCGGGTTGCGGCCTAAGTGTAGATGGTTCACCCTCCTCTCGTGTCGGCGGTTCCAGTCCCTCCTCCTGCCGAGGTGATTCTGGCGGTCGCGATGTCGGCGGTGGCGGCCCCGTCGCCGACGGAGGTTCTCGACGCAAGGATGCCTCAGAGGCCTGCAGCGGAGCAGACAACTTCAGTCCACCCTCCTCTTTCTCCTCCTCCTCCTCACCGGCCGTGTGGATCGATGATGGACGACTGTACTGCGGCCAGACTTGGTAGGTCGACGTCCTTGTCACGCCTCTATTTATGTAGTCCTTTCACCTCGCGGGCTGATGGGACTATTCACACATCGTCTGGGGCTTCCTACATTAGCTGTTTTTGCGATTTTTTGCCGGCAGAAGCTACCTGACTGCTTTTTGCTGAACTCCGACTCTCTACACGCAGATTGTGAGGAACTGCCGGAGACTCGAGGTAGATTCTGTAAACAAGACGGAATAGTCGACTTGATCTTTGTAGCCTAATATCCAGTAGGTGGGCTAACTCATGAAATTTCAACCGAAATCCCGAAATGCGTTTTCGTTTCGAAAGGATTAATTAAGTAGGGTTGCAAGACTTATCATCGCACAGCATAATTCTATCATAATTCAGTTACCTCAGGGTGCCGGCTTTCGAATAAACTTCCTTCCGGCTGCATGCAAAAACCACACTCTGTAAAAAACGACTACTTAATTAGCATGAATTTTTCGCATTGATTTTCGATGCCCCTAAAAGTCCAATTATATTTCATTGAAAACATGCATAAAAATATTCTTTTTTTTCTCATTTTGTAAAAAATTACGTCTTCTTCCAATTTTATACTCGAAGGAAGGGTATAATTCGGCTTTAGAAATGTTTCTACTTGTGGGACTATTAAATACCTTGAAATGGCCGTTCATAAACGTCATCTCACTGCATTAAGCAATGTGGCTTGTAAAGTTAACAGCATGGCTTAAATACACGGCTAAATTTTATGAACCCCATATAGTCTCCTCTTAACAGCGTAAAGAAATTTACGGTTTTTTATACGCATAAAGTATACGGCTTGTAGTTTGGAAATCCTGAATCCAAGTGTGACGGTAGAGCGGGTTAAAAATTATTCGGGAATCGGAAAAGTTTATGAATACCGAATTATATCCTCCCTTGAGTATAAAATTAGAAGAAGACGTAATTTTCTACCAAATGGGTACGAAAATTAATATTTTTGTGCAGATTTTCCATTAAATATAATTGAGTTTTTACAGGCGCTGGAAACCAATGAGAAAAATGCATGCCATATACGTAGTCACTTTTTAAAGAGTATACTTTTTTCACGCAACCGGGAGGAAGTTCATTCGAAAGCCGGCATCCTGACGTAACTGAAATATTATAGAATTATGTTGCAGGCTGACCAGTTTTACAACTCTACTTAATTAATCTTTTCGAAAGGAAAACGCATTTCGTAATTTCGGTTGACATTTCATGAGTTAGCCCACCTACTGTCTGTAGGCAATGCGCACGAAATTGAGAATCTTCCTACACACAGCTTTCGTAAATTGCTCACCGCTATCTGAAGTGAAGTCTAGAAAACCATGACAAAATTTAGAGTTTCCGGAAATTTCATTATGATGGTCTGTTAATTCGCCAATGCCGTGATGACACCTGTCACAGAAAATGCGTCAACTTCGGAGCAAAACGGGGGAAACAGGGTTGCGCACATGAATCATCCCTTTTCGATCTCATGCGCTCTCCGGTGCCGATTGATGCCTATCGCGGAAGCGATCCGGAATCGATGCCAGCTATGGAACCGACGGCCTGCCCTACGCATACCTTCATGAAAAACCCAAGGCCGTGATAATGACCTTTTCGCTGGCGATGGCGCACTAAATACCACAGTTAGAGTGCCTCTGCTCCGAGACATAGACCTCTTCACTTCTGTATGCGCTAGTTTCACGGATAAAGCAGTTGTCGTACACCGACCGCCAGAGTTCCTTGTCGCCATCCCAAAAAAAACATCGAAATCGCCACCGGACTTGCGGCTATGCACTCCAAGGCCAGTCAGACCCTCGATGGGCGTCTTTCCTCCGTATGAAATCGCCGGAGTATTCTTCCCAACACATAATTTAAAAAACCGGTTGAAGGAACCTGTTCTTTTGCAATGAGGTTGAAAATAATATTTTGATAAAATATGTTCAATAGGCTATTGATCCTCGCTGAGTATTGTCCTTCAACTCCGGAGGAAACGGACATTTGACAAACTGTGATCGGCATTGTCGATAGTTCTGCGTGAATCCCTTCTCCAATTTCTTTGAATTTTAATTTTCCGAAAAGCTTAGGATGTTTTTGAAAGAAAGTACCTACCAATATGAGTGCGCGCTCCATCTGTCAGTTGGCCATATCCTCTAGCTTGTTCTACGAATGAAGGCGTAATTTCGAGTTCCAGGTGTATACATATTTGAAGAAGAAGAAGAAGAAGAAGAGTCGAGCACCGGAACAATTCGTTTATTATCCTGAGCTTTCAGACTCGTACAGGAGTCCATCGTCAGAGGTAGTGGCAGAAACAGGACAAGCGGCAGTTATAAGGCACGTAGGCCTAATCATCGACCGACGTCACACGACTGGAGATGACTACGAAGGGCTCTGTACGCCGGCGCCAGATCGATAAATCGATTGACCGAGTTCTCATCCGAGGCCCAGGCTTCAATCAGCTCTCGACCTGTTTTGTTTCCGGCGTGGGCGACTATTTTGGTGGCTGCGAAGTCAAACTCGTGACCCATTTCGTAGGTGTGGGCGGCCACTTGTGATAATGCATCGCCTCGCCGCACAGCCAGCTTATGTTCATGTATGCGCGATCCGAGCATGCGTCCAGTCTGTCCTGTGTAGTTACAAGGGCAATTTTGACACGGAATGCGATACACTACTCCAGACTGCTCTTCAGGTTGTTCTCGCTCTGTTCTTTGGTTCGTATTAGGATGATAGACCTGAATGACATGTTTCATTATCCGACAGGAGTCACATATGACCAGTGCATGTTGTGCCTACTTACCGGGCACAAAGTTACTGCCTAGAAGAATAAGAGAAGGCACCTTTTAACTGTTTGGGCTATTTTGTTCTTATCTGATAGAGTGCTGCTCTCTTTGCATCCCAGCTTCCAACAGGGCGCCTCTGTACACATCGAAGGTCACGGCTGTAGCGGAACCATAGTGGCCATCGGTGCGCAGGACGTGTCAATCAAACGCTCCTCTGATCATGGTATTGTCCGCATCACAGTGCAGCAGTTGAAGCAAGGTCGGTACACCCTGGTGCCTAAACGCTAACAGTGGTCTGACCATTCCCCCCATCCACTGTACATAGAGATCTACACGGCTAAACCTGCATCCTTGGATGACTGTCGGTGCTCGAATTTGACTGTCTTCTACATTGTGTATATTTTGCGCACTCTTTCCACCTTACTATACCCACTTTTGTTTGTTGCGTGTTTATTTTAAATGTGGCCTTTTGATAATGTACGCTCTCGAAGTCTTATCTGCTACTGTCTATGACGTCTTTTGTCATCGGCTGGCGTCATTCAACTCCATCTTCGCGCCTCGAGGTATTCGAAGTCGGATTCTTCATGTTGTCTTCCTGGTGAATGCCATCACACCACGCTTGGTAACTGTTACTAGCCAATTTCTGCTGAGAGTCTTGTCCGTTTACTGCATCACATCCATGATTCGTTACAGTGTAGGTCTGCCACAGACAAGGTGAAGTACCGTATCTGGTCTTCATTGCCTCGAGCTCACAGCCTTCACCTCGTGATGCGGTGACAATTCAACCGTCGCGAACAACAATGTTCACCGTGTTCCCACGGAGTGGGTGTAGCACCAGTGACTTGTGCGTGAGGTAGACTTTCGCCGCGTTTACAACCGCACGACGGACTATTATTCTAGCAACCGTCAAGTGAGAAATGATAACGTGGGCAGTTGGAATATATATATATATATATATATATATATATATATTGAAAAGAGGTAGGTTCTTTGGGACAAGAGGGTTTATTGCGTAAATTTTCGACGCTGGTTCCCCAGGTCGTCGTCAGACGCAAGCGGAAAGCAAATGTGAAAGCAAGAAACAGCTAACGTCAAGAGTGCACAAAAAATCGATACTTGCATGGCGTGTGCGCCGGTTGGCAGCCGTCGTGCGTCAGTCTGAGCTGGTTGGTTCCCTTCTCTTCCATTTCTCCTTCAGGTTTCTGTACACGGCATCCAACTCGATATGCCGGTTGATGCATGAGTCATCAGAGTGCATCGCCTCGAGGAATTCTCGGCCTTTCTTGAAAGGGCAGACCGCGACAACGCGAGCTTTGTCCCAAGCGAAAGTGTGCCCGGTGTCCAGCGTATGCATGGCTATCTGAGACAGATGGTCTCGCCTCTTTACTGCCAACTGGTGCTCATGGATGCGTGTTGAGGCGGATTTTCCAGTCTGGCCACAATAGACGGCAGTACATGCATTACACGGTATCTTGTAGACGACCTCTTTCTTGTCCAGCTGATTAACCCTATCCTTAGGATGTACCAGCTGAGAGCGCAAAGTAGTCGTAGGTTTGTGCGCCACTCGAATTTGGTGCTTCCTTAAGTGCCTTTCGACGATTGGGCGCTCACCGATCAGATTACGGAACATGCTTGTTACGTTGTGCCTTGGGGCTCATACTAGAACCCTCGCAGACAGTCGCACAGCGACTAGTAGTAGATATACATGAGATGAGATGAGATGGTACCGACAAAGACAAGGGAGACCGGAATGGCCATTTCTGGCTTATTAGCCGTCATCAGCCAGTCATACCCAACCCCAAGTGTGGACCACTTGAGATTCGAACCCGGGATCTTTGGTCATGGAGTTTCACGCTCTACCATTGAGCCGCCAGAGGCGAAGCGTTCCATGCCCCATTGAATATCTGTCTCGGTGACGAGTGTTTAGTCCTCCACGAAGGACAGGTCATGGGCAGTAGTCGCAGAAAGACGTGTTGGAGCCAGCTTGCGCTGGGTATTGAGAAGTCGGTCGTTGGTCCGGTAGACGATGCTGATACCAGTGAGCTCATTGCGGTAGGCGTCGATCAGCATGGCAGTGAACATGAAACTGAGGAGGAAGATAGGGAGTACGCAGATCTGCTTCACTTCATCGGCTATTGAGAATGCTTCTGGCACTGGCCCATCGAGCTTGACGCGCGTCATCATCCCGTCTCGACGTTAACACATGAGGTGCGTGAATTGCTCGCGACAACCGATTTTTCGCATCAATTTCCATAGTCTATCCAAATGCACCGTGTCGAAGACTCGTCAGGTTCACTAAGTGCAGAGCGGGCTCCTCATTTTCTGGCACTTGTCTTGTAATCGGTGGCAGCAGAGATCAGTTCGGTGGTACCGCGCTTTCGTCTGAAGCCATAATGGTTTCCGGGTAAGCACGTGCATCATATAGGTGTTGAGATGATTGGGAACGACATGAGCGAAGACCTGTCAGTGTTGAACGGTGAGAATCACGGAGTTGCCGGGTCTATTCCCACTTGTATGGATGGACGATTGTCGCGTTCTTGTAATCCTGGTAACTTGTCCTCGGCGCCACATCTCCTGAAACAACAGTGTGATTTTTTGGATCAGCTGAGGGCCCCTGTGTTTGTGAACTTTATTCAGGGATCGTGTCGGATCGCGTTGATTTCCCGCTAGATACTTGGTTTGCAACTCTGGTGGTTTCTTGGAGGTAATGCGGAAAGCCCAGAACATGGTGACTTTCCACGTGAGAAGTTAGTCGATGGCGGCTTCGGATATCGTAAATAGGCCCAGTGCTTCGGAACTTGTGACTTTTCCATGAGAGCCGGCTTTTGAATGAACGTCCTTCCGGCTGCATGCAAAAACTGTACTCTTTAAAAAGTGACTACTTACAGTAGGTGGGCAAGCTCCTGAAATGCCAACCGAAATCCCGGAATGCGTTTTCATTTCGAAAAGATTAATTTAGAGCGGTTGTAAAACTAATCGTCATTCAGCATAGTGCTATAATAGTTCAGGTACTCTAGGATGCAGGCTTTCGAATGAATCTTCTTCCGACTGCATGCAATAACCACCCTCTGTAAAAAAACGACTACTGAAGTAGCATGAATTGTCTCACTGATTTTCGATGTCCCTAAATGTTCAATTATATTTCATGTAAAACGTAAATAAAAATATATACTCTTTTACTGATTCGGTAATAAATTACGTCTTCTTCCAATTTCACACTCGAAGGAGGGACATAATTCGTTTTTGAGAAGGTTTCTAATTGTGGGACTTTTAAATACCGAGAAATGGCCGTTCACAAAACGCCATGTCTCTGCATTTACCAATGTGGCTTATAAAGTTAACGATATGAATCAAATACACTGCTTAATCTTATGAACCCTATATGGACCCCCTTTATTACCATAGAGAAATGTATGGTTTTTCGTACGCGGAAAATATACGGCTTGTAGTTTGGAAACCCTGAATCCAAGTGTAATGGTAGAGTGGGTTCAAATTTATTCGGGAATTGGAAATGTTTTTGAAACCCGAATTATACACTTCCACCGAGTATAAGATTGGAAGAAGACGTCATTTGCTACCGAATGAGCAAAAGAATGAATATTTTAAAGCACGTTTTCCATGAAGTATAATTGGACATGTAGGGGCATCGAATATCGATGAGAAAAATGCATGCTACATACGTAGTTACTTTTTAAACAGTATAGTTTTTGCATGCAACAGGAACGAAGTTCATTCGAAAGCCGGAATCCTGAGGTAACTGAAATATTATAGAAGTATATTACAGTCTGACCAGTTTCACGACCCTATTTAATTAATCTTTTTCGAAACAGAAACGCATTCCGGAATTTCAGTTGACATTTCATGGGTTTGACGACCTAAATTCATTTTTCTCATTGATTTTCGATGCCCTATAAAATTCAACTGTATCTCATGGAAAACACTATGAATATTTTTCTTTTTCACTCATTTGGTGAAAGATTGCGACTTCTTCAAATTTCATACTCCAAGAAAGCGTATAATTTGTTTTTTAAAAGAGTTTCTCATTATGAGATTTTTTAATACCGTGAAATGGCCGTTCACAAAACTTCATGTCTCTGCATTTAGCAATGTGGCTTGTAATGTTAACAATATGGCTCAAATCCACTGCTAAATTTTATGAACCTTATGTGGTCTCATCTTAATACTGTAGATAAATGTACGGTATTTTGTGCGCCGAAAATTTGCGGCTTATAGGCTTGAAACCCTGAATACAAGTGCAGGATGGGTTCAAAATTATTCGGGAATTGGAAAAGTTTTTAAGAGCCGAATTATATCCTTCCTTCGAGTATAAAATTAGAAGAAGACGTAATTTTCTACCGAACGAGCAAGAGAGTGGATATTTTTGTGCATATATTCCAGGAAATATAATTGAATTTTTAAGGGCAATGAAAATCAATGAGGAAAATGATTGCTACATAAGTAGTCATTTTTTACAGAGTATAGTTTTTGCATGCAGCCGGAAAGTTTATTCGAATGTTGGCATGCTGAGGTAACTGAATTATTGTAGAATTTTGCTGCATGATGATTAGTTTTACAACACTACTTAATTAATCTTTTCGAAACGAAAACGCATTTCGGAATTTCGGTTGACATTTCATAAGTTAGCTCTCCTACTGCAAGATTTGTGCGCTCTATTTTATTCAGCGAGTGGATTGCTGATATCTGCGTCGTCATCAAACCACTACTGGTTTTGACGACGTGCGCGGCCAACGACGTCCAGGACGGTGGAATGGATAACGTTTCGAAAATGACATTTTCTTCTCTCCATGATGGTCTTGTCCTCCGGAGCCTGCGGGTCCCTCTGTCGCCGAGTCATCTGATTGCTGAAATCGAATCGATGAGTCGGCAAAGCCCACTTAACAGTATTTGGTTTACCTGGTGTTCTCTTACCTTTTGGTCTGCTGTGGGGTTGCAGTCAGAGCCTCATCCTTGAGATGATGAGACGGTGATCTGTCCGGTCGTCAGCGTTTCAGATCGTCTTGGTCGGTCTGGCATCCGGACTAGGACCTAGTCCATTAGCGATCATGGGACGCACCACGTTGCCGTCTCATTTTGGCTGCGGAAGGTGTTGGTTTGCAGGAGACGATGTTCCGCAGAGGGAGGAGACTGTTATTTTCTCAGTCCCTCCGAGGCAGCGTGATCCGACTCGAAGCATACATTGAAGCCACCAAGGACAATCAGTTTATGCGCCGCCGGCAAAGTCGCCTGGAGGGCATGGAGGTCCTCGTAAAATTTGTTGTGCTCCTCGTCGAACTTGGTTGTTTATGGCAGCGTAGGCTCCGATGATAGTGACAAATTCGTTTTCCCGAAGAGCACGGCCATTGATTCCCTGCGACAGACAGAACATTAGTCGCACATTGTGTTGCTCCGTCTTGGGACGACCATTCTGGCAGAAATCATAGCCGACACCCAACTCCCCCTTGTGGCCATTTTCAGAGAAGCGGATATCGCTGGAAGCTGCGATGTGATCCGCCAGTTCTCGAGCACCACCTTTCCTGAATGTGGAAGTCCCTGCTCGACGCAGAAATCAGAACCACTGGGGCCTCATGCCGAGACAAACCTGACCGTGAGCATCACCTAAAATTTTGAATTGTTTGGTGTGTTGCGGTTTTATTTTCTTTTTAACTACTTATAAATCACAATAATCTTGTGTCTATTTTTTCGCTCCTACCGTCGTACCTGACTGCCGACTTCAGTTCAGTTTATTGGAGGAACGAGACCTGAGCCTTTGAGTGCCCAATTTTCAGCGTAGAACTAAGTTCAGTGTATCCAGAAACTTGACGTTAAAATAGCTCAACTGGGACCATAAAAATGTGATAAGTTGCGCGCGAGTCTCAAGAGTTGAGTTCAATCACCCATCGCTCTAACACCTTTTAAAACAAAAATCTGGCAAAGTTCTTTTTATAAAGGTTTTCATCTAAGGTCCGCGCGCATTGGCCTATAAATCGAAGGAAGGAGGTTTAGGCTTGTTAGACAGGCTGCATAGGTTAAGACGCTTTGACACTTAAAAATTCCTGTGGCATTGCCATGAACCTTTCGGGACTATTTTGATCGTGGACTGCCCACGGCCGCTTATCTTAAGTGTTCTGTTCCAAATGCTGCCTCACGAATGTTCTGAAAATGTTAAATAGGACATTTTCATGAAAATCCACAAGACCGTCTTAATGCCATGCAAAGGGTACATTGCGCAGTTTGCCCCATATGAATAATGAACAGACGCTTTTAAGGAGTTTTTTGTCAGCATGCATAGGTCCGTATAGGCTTTAACATCTTGTGACGTTGTACCACATAGGAAGCGATTTCTTATATATAAGAAAGTGTACTACGGGTAAAAGGCTGGTTTTGCTGGGAATGGGACGTAAATATTCATACACAACTAAACATGTTACTAAAACGTTGTTAGTAGCACATATATTTATGTAAAGTATTCCGGTGTGTTGATATCTCAACGCGGGCACCCGCAGAGTTGAAAGTTAGGGCCCCAACCGCAAGTGGTCCTCTTCATGTACATTTGGAATTATAAATGCGCACATAGACAGTTAGTGCGAAATATAGTCATCTATGTAGTTTGCGGGAACATTTAGAATTAAACGTTCAGGAATGAATTACATAAGAAAAGAAATCAAGAAATATGGTCCATGGCTGACCGTGGAAAATCCTTCTGTGGGATTCGCCGTTTATCAGTAATCAAACGACCCAACTGCTTTTTGAATATTATTATAAGATTAGATGTCATGTTTTCATTTGAGAGTGAGTTCCACGGTTGAACTTCCCGCTAACTGAAGGCAAACTTCCGTTGGTCTAGGCGCGTTTGTCCGCATTTGACATTGTGTCAACGGATCTGACCGTAGCGCCTAGGCAAAATATGATACATTTGCCGCCGCTGTATCAAATCAGTCAACAATCAGACCACTCCTCCTACATGTTTGGGTTGGTCTTCAGCTTTTTTGTGGGTAGGGCTCCGGATTACATTCCAAATATTTATGCCGTCCGCAAACACTATTGTTTCTCATTTCAGATCTCTTGCGCAGTCCTCCAGGGATACTGGGTCCGAGTACTGTGCCCTGCAGCACCTCGCTCTTGACTGCAGCAGGATTTCATTTCTCTTGGTTGATATAAAAAAACCTGGCGCCGACCCACAT